AAGAACATAATTTACTGATTCTTCAAGAGAAAGATCTGGACGAACCTTCATTACCTGTTCAGAAGGATACATGTCCGCTGATGACACGAAACCACGAAAGTTCGATTTTTTGCCTCTGTGTTGTACTAGAGACTTTAACTTGATACCCGTCATTTTTTTGATGTTGTTATAATTAGTTGGTCTCGTGTGTGTATGACTCACTTGTTTCAGAAGTCATATTTCCTGTTAATTTTTGCATGTGTTACGTACAACTTGATGTGCTCTTTCTAACCATACCATTGGATTTGGTTTTTGAGTTATAATTCCAAGTGTAGTTCAAGGCTTGCTGAAAAATGTGTAGCAGAAGAAAAGAATGACTGATGTTTTTAAGCTAAAGCCTTTCCAATTTCACTTCTAATAGTAGCGTTTAGGTTCTGTTGACATTATTTCGTGAAACCATATCTAGTTCCTTAGTTTTAAGTGGATACGGAACATGAAAGAATTTATTTGTTGGCAAAATTTGACTAGTAGATGACGAAAGTTCAAGAAATATCCAAAATCTTGAAATTTTAAAGTAAAATATTTCTGATAATACCTCAAATAGAATGAAAAAGGTAGAAAACAGTTAATGTTACAATAAAATATTAAAACTGAAAGTTTGGAATGCTTTAAAAGATGAGAAAATATGTTTTTTGCCAAGGGGGTCTATAATTATGGTACAGATATTTTTCAGTTTTCTTCAATTTTTTCTTCAAAGAGCAAGACATGAAAGAGGAAGTTTAGGATATCAGATAGTACTTAAGTAGTCTTACATAGACGCGCAAGTAACAGATTGATATCAATCATTTTTGAAATAAAATAAATATTTTTGCATGTTCATATGAGGGGAGGCTATAATTTTGACAACCCCTGTATTACTCATAAAAACATCAAATACTTTTTCAAAGAGAGAATTGTTAGTGACAAGAGCATTTATGTTTGTTCAGAAGTCTAAGTGTGAAATGACATGTTTTTTCATCGCAGATAACGGCAGACATCGAAAGCTACAAAATTCTAATTTTGCAGTGTAATTTTGTACATGTTCATGTCTATAACTTATAATAGGCAGCTACTTTGCTCGATTCCACTGTACACGAAGACATGACTCACGAAGATTCAAAACAAACCAAAACATTATTATGAAACTAATTCATGATTACGAAAATGTTGAACATATTTTTATGTTCATGCAAGAAGGGAGTTGATTAAATGTCTTATTTTTCGTTTCTTTCATGTACAAAGAGAAAAATTTCTAATGATTGAAAATCGGGAATGTTTTCATCGAAATAATGCATCAAGTAGAAAGATAAGTCAAGCACAACGGCACGTAGTGTTTTGTAGGTATTGTCAATAGACCATAAGAAACTTCTAATGATGTACATAATAGATATTCCACGTACCTCGTCTGGGAGTGGGATACTGGGATATTTTCTTCGAATCAAACGTGTAGCCCGAGCTCATATGCTAGCATCTGGTGGTCGATCAAACTCAGGTATCAGTCGGAAGCAAAAGCAACCACATAGGACAATTATGAACACAATCTGCAATACAACTATTGTTCAGCTAGCAAAGTATTTTGGCATACAAGCTGCCAACTCCATAAGAATAGATCGAGATCCACTCGTTCAAGAAAAAGATATTGCTGAACTCAGCAGTTCATCCCTTGGTGTTGAAGGAACATCACGCTAATCACCATTGGAGGTAACTGATGATATCCCTCTGACATAAGCTACGACACTCATTAGATCACCTAAATATGGTAAAGCCAGTGGAGTATACGAAACAAGATTGGAGATGCTGACTTCTCTCAGTTCTATTAGCATGTGTTGACCCATTCGCATCTGTTGTGTGGTATGGAGAACTGAAAAAGCTCTGGTGGGCTGGCAAACTCGAGTTGTTGTCGCAATAAATTAATAGTCGTCTCTTATCTGAAGTTCAACCTTTGTACATCGACTGCGAAAGCTATGTTCTAATGAATAGCAACCAAGGGGGGAAAAGCGAGACTCCTAGAGTGCGTACTCCAGCTGTACTCCAATTTTTTTTGGAATAGAGTGAGTCTCCCTTTTTCCCTCTTGGGTCATTCTCAGCTGAATCTTTTAATGAAAACTTATTAATCAAAAATAATAGATTTTCAGATTTCTTTGAAGGAGACTGTATTATTTGTTGAAAAAATATATAACATTTGAGATTGAGTGTCATATGCTGTTTCAGTCGTACCCAAGAATTTTGATAAGAAATCCCATATAGCCACATTGAAGTATCCAGGAATTAATAATTATTTAATAATGCAACGATAAAAGATATTTCACCATATAGAAGCAATTTATTTCTTCATACAAATGTGAATCATCTAGTCTGAAGCTACAGCTCACTGTCAAATGGCTTAATCACTAAATAAATAAAATCTGTCGAACAACCAAGCTGTTTTATCTCTCTTATCTTTTTTGCTGAATTAAAATGAATAATATTCTTTATGTTATAGAGATTTTTCTCTCTTGTTCTTTATTGCTGACTCACTAGGTTATTCATGCAAGTAACATAAACCTTGATATTCGGTTCTCTATATGCTGAGTCAAAGATATAACAAATATAAATAGTAATAAAAAAGCAGAGTATAAAAACAACAACATGAAGCCGTTTCCTTTCATTCTTTTTTCCTCATACATACGAAAAACATGGCTTCATCATTATCGTCAACAACTCCCGATTTCGAACATTTTGGTCACAAACTTTATTCGACTGTCAGTCAAAATAAGAATAATCAAAATGTATTTCTTTCACCAGCAAGTATTGCTCTTGCTATGTCAATGTGTACAGTTGGTGCTCGAAAAGAAACATTAGATCAAATGTTACATGTTCTGGATGCATCATCAATAGACGATTTAACAAAAACAGCTGAAAAAATTATGCATGTATTTTCTATTGCTGATCATGATAAACAAGTTCAACTTAAATTAGCTAATCGTCTTTATGCACAAAAAGCATATAAAATTCAACCAGATTATTTAAGTCTTGTTCAAAATTCTTTCAAAGCTGATATTAAACTTGAAGATTTTGAAAATGACAGCGCTCATGCTGTTCAAACAATAAATACATGGGTTGAAGAACAAACTAATAAATTAATTCAGAATTTACTGTCGAAAAATGATGTTACACGTGATACACGACTAATCATTGTTAACTT